CTTCTTCCTTCTCTTCCCTCCTCCTCCTCCAACTCTTTCTTCTTCTTCCTCTTCTCTTCCTCTTCTCTTCCTCCTTCTTTCTTCTTTTTCTTGAGGTAGGATCTCACTCTGATGCCCAGGCAAGAGTGCAGTGGCATGATTATAGCTCACTGAAGTCTCAAACTCCTGGGCTCAAGTGCTCTTCTTGCCTTAAGCCTCCTGACTAGCTGGAACTACTGGCACACACCACCACATCCAGCTAATTTATTTTATTTGTAGAGATGGGGTCTTGCTATGTTGGCCAGGCTGGTCTTGAATTCCTGGCTTCAAGCAATCCTCTTGCCTTGATTCCAAAGTGCTGGGATGACAGGTGTGAGCCATTGTGCCCAGCCTACTCTCTGTACTTCGATGAAAATCTATGGTTCATTTTTATTTTTATTTTTTTTCTTGAGATGGAGTTTCGCTCATCACCCAGGCTGCAGTGCAAGGGCACGATCTCAGCTCATTGCAACTTCCTCCTCCTGGGTTCAAGCAATTCTCCTGCCTCAGCCTCCTGAGTAGCTGAGATTACAGGTGCCCGCCACCATGACCAGTTAATTTTTGTATTTTCAGTAGAGACAGGGTTTCATCATGTGGGCCAGGCTGGTCTCGAACTCCTGACCTCAGGTGATCCTCCTGCCTTGGCCTCCCAAAATGCTGGGATTACAGGTGTGAGCCACTGTGCCTGGCCTATGGGTCATTTTTAAAGTCATAGTAAAGGATAGTATGTTTATGTAACACTTCTCTTCCATAAAAGCACATCAAGGCTTTAGAGGTACATCTCTCAACAAAAGAGTCTTTACCCATTTCTTCCAGAAAATGACCTTGCTCTTTTGTTCATCTTTCTCCTCTTATTGCATCAGGTTTAAATCTCTGAAATGGAGAGGGATGACTTTTGCAACTGAAAGCATTTGCTAGGCCTAAGGCTTATGCCTTATTAAAGTATTTTAGTGAAAACTCAAGGCACAGGACAGAATAGACTTACCATTATATCCGGCGCATGTGTATCAAGAAGTAGTTCAGGAATTGTACCTAAAAATGAAATCTGCAGTGGGAGTAGGCACTCTCCATGGTATACATCTCTGGAGAAACCTTTGATCCTGGATGACTCTTACAGAATTGCAGGTTTGGCAGTTTTACAGGGAGGAGAAAGTTATTCTAGAGAATATGATACAGAGAACCTTCAACTTATGTATTTCCTGAAGTTCAATGATAAATCTATTATTTACAGTGTAGAAAAGTACTTAACTCAGCAACACATGAGAACGACAACTATTCATTGCACACCTCTGTTATGGGCAACGCACTGTTAAAATATACTTAAAATGATTATAATCTCAAGCTACTTCACCAAGACTTATTTCACCCTCCAATAAGTTGAAAGGCTGAATTTGCCATGAAAAATAGTATATAACAATATATTGTTATGATATTGATACATTTTTGATCACCTACTGTTTTGAGAAAAATGTGTAAGGCAGTATGGGGGTTACAAAGATGAATCTGACAAAGACTTGTCATTAAAGAGTTGACTAACTGCATACAGTAGCCTCTAGCTATACTCAAGCACTCAAAATGTGGCCAGTTAGAATTGAATCATGCTGTAAGTTGCTGGGCGGTGGCTCATGCCTGTAATACCAGCACTTTGGGAGGCCGAGGTGGGTGGATCACGAGATCAGGAGATCGAGGCCATTCTGGCTAACACGGTGAAACCCCATCTCTACTAAAAATACAAAAAAAATTAGCCGGGCACAGTGGCGGGTGCCTGTAGTCCCAGCTACTTGGGAGGCTGAGGCAGGAGAATGGCATGAATCCGGGAGGCGGAGCTTGCAGTGAGCTGAGATCGCGCCACTGCCCTCCAGCCTGGGCACAGAGTGAGACTCTGTCTCAAAAAAAAAAAAAAAAAAAAAAAAGAACTGAATGCTGCTGTAAGAAAACTGCACTGGATTTCAAAGACTTAATGTGAAAAAAGAACATAAAATCTTTCATTAGTAAGTTTTAATAATGATTATATATTAAAATGGTAATAATTTCAACATCTGGGTTAAATAAAATTACATATGTGACTTGCATTATATTTCATTTGGCAGTGTTGATCTACATAATTATAGTATCACCTACTGAGTGTATCTACTGTATGCCAGGTAGTTTTATGTCAATTGTTTGTAATCTTCCATAAGGAAGGTATTCCAGATAAGAAACCTGAGGTTGTCAAAGGCATATTAATTTATTCTTCTACACACCTTGTATTTTCTATGCACCAAGAGCTGCCACAGGCAGTGAGGATAAAACAAAGCAAAGTCTCTACCCTCATGGAACTTACGAACCAATGGGAGAGAAAGCTAATAAGTATAGTAAGTATGTATAAAAAATAGGCCAGGCAGTGACAGTAAAAGAAGATGAAGTCCATTAAAAAAATGGAGGGTGACCGGAATTGGAGTGAAGGCAGAAGGTTTGGGGGGATGGCTATTTTTTAAGATAACAAGCTCTAAGAAGGGGCTATCTAAGCAGAACCTGAATGAAGTCAGGCAGTGAGCCCTGTGAACATCTACCTGGCCAGGAGCTTCTGGGAAGAGGGAACAAGGACTGAGGTGTATTGTGTGTGTGTGTTGGGGGGGGGCGGTGGTGGTGTGTGTACGCGTGCGTGCATGTGTTTTGCACTCTGAAGGAAAAGCTGGAGAGTCCGTGGTGCTAGAGAGCAGTAAGCAAGAGGAAGCCAGGAAACAGTTTACGTAGGGACTTGGAAGCCATGAGTAGGAAATGTTGAAGGATGACTTTGGCTGCTCTATGAGGTATGGACTATTGTGGGGCATGCATGGAACCCAGCAAGAATAGACGCCAGAGCACTTTGAGAGGTCAAGGCGGGTGGATTGCTTAAGGTCAGGAGTTCACCAGCCTGGCCAACATGGCAAAACCCGGTCTCTACTAAAAATACAAAAAGCCGAGTGTCATGGTGCACACCTGTAGTCCCAACGACTCAGGAGGCTGAGGCACAAGAATCACTTGAACCTGGGAGGCAGAGGTTGCAGTGAGCTGAGTTCACACCACCACAGTTCAGCCTGGGCAACAATGGGAGACTGTCTCAAAAAAAAAAAAAAAAATGGAAGCCAGAGACTCATTAGGAGGCAACTGCAAAGGTGCAGGACAGGGAGGGCTAACAGTGAGAGAGCTAGAGCTTCAACAAGGTCTGTCTAACTCAGCCACTGTAAGATACAAAGTAAAACAATGTAAAAATTATCCCAGTAATTTGAACTGCAAAAATCAAATATCTGGGTAATTCAAATACATTTCAAAATATATTTGGGAGTCTGTGGTTATCAGAACTGGCAGTCAAAAATTACCATCTAACCTCACAGGATAGTAGTTTATCTCTGTCCCTTGCTTTCTGCCAATTTAACCTAAGGGAAGTAGACTTGAGATCCGTTAATTGGCAGAGCGGGATTGCAGGACCTTTAAGTCAAATTCAGATAAGGCAAATCAGCTTTATTTCTGCCAAAGAAAAGTGTTTGGTGGAGCCAGATGACAATTTTGTAGCCTAAACTATTTGCACTGGCTCTCTCTACGATCTGAATTCACTCCCGTTATTGTTAATTCTGAGTTTAAGCATAGCCATACAAGCAAGACAGAGTTAAGGAAGGAACTAGAAATTGGCCATGTCTTGGATAAATGTATATATGACTATGGGTAACCTCACTCAAGGAGTCTGTTTTTAAGGACAGAAGTGCTTTAAAACAGAAAGCATCCTCAAGGTCAAATGTTATACAGGCCAAGTTCTTCCTCTGAGAGGTAAATAAGGATTTAAAGCAGTCACCCAGTTTCAAATGAAAACAAATACAGACCATTCCCAAGGACACTCAAAAGCCATGTCATGAAAAAAGGAGGCTCAATCCTGACCCTCTAGGTTGGTTTATTTACTTTGACGGAACTCACTGGAAAATTGTTCAACTCTACGCTTCACTGTGCCTGTGCAGGATGTGTTTTCTGGGCATTGGATGTAGATCTTGTCAATCAGGCACTTTCCTGGAGCACTAAAATGTACAGATTACACACATCAAAGGCAGGCTGCAACCACTGTAGCTGAAATTTACACAAATCTGTGCGGCAAGTAACCGGATAAACAATGAGACTAATGACCTTGTTCTGCATTAATCTCCCAATGGCTCAGTTGGTACTGCAAGAAGGTTGTGGCTTTGGCTTCTAGCCTCAAACTAGGGATTATATGCTTGCCCAATGTCAACGGAGCCCAGGAAGCCTGAGAATACAGCCCCAGTCCATCCATTTTATGAGGTGCATTTACCACAATTCAAGAAACACATCCATTACCATATCCATCCAGGAAAGAGATTTATAAAAATAAGTAAGTTCCTTGGCCATGCCTCCCCTTTCAGGGAGTTTATTTTCTTATAGAAGGCCCCAGGTTTTCCTTGTTTTCAGGGTCTCTCCATTGCCCCGCAAAAGCAAGATAGAATCCTTGATCTATGTTCCTCTTTTGACCAAGAATAAATTTCAAAAAGGCTGCATCTGTAAAGAAAAGGGAAAGGAAGAATTGAAGTTGACCAGTGAACTTGATCAGCATCCACTTTTAATTTGGGACATTTGGGGGAAAGGTACATTGAAAATAGAAGGTGCTTTCTAAGTGCCAATAAAAATTGCTATAGAGTCCCTTCTACACAACTGGCAAAGGCTGAGGGTTGCTGCTGGCAGGAGGCAACTGAAGGAGATGGAGCATCTCAGGAGGAGTCTGCACCCTGAGCAGCGTTGGGCCGTGCCAAAGGGACCTAGGAACCCTGGAACCCCACCCACCTCCCATCCCTGCTGCTTTCATCACTTTGTACACAGGCCACACTGAAAAGCTTATATTGGAAAATGGCTCCCAATGAGCCCAGGAAATGGCTCCCTTGGTGGGGTTACCTTAGGTTAGAAAGGATCACACTGAAGTGCATTCAGCTAAATGCCCTATGTACCACACCTGTGGTACTCCTGTCACTTCACAGTCAGCCCTATCAATAATCTTCACTGCATTGTAAACTTGAGATACCTCTGCCTGGGATACATAATCACTTTCTATTTTAAAACATAGATTTTGGTGGCACTTACACAGTCCCAAGAAACAACTCTTATATACCTTTCTAGTCACTCTCCCCACTTCTGAGTCCTTACAACTGTTGTTGGGGGTATTTTATCCACATAAATATTACTACTTTCTCAGGCCATTATACTAAGACTGTTTTTAGAGCTGCTGTAATGTGTGTTAAATGTCTCACAAAAAGGTACTGTTTTTGGTGTTTTTTTCTTCATTCATTTATAAATTCATTGAGAGCCCAACATAAACACGAATTAAAGCATATTCACCCTGTTCTTAAAATGTTCTTTCATTACACTCACTTGGGGGGTAACAACCAATTCAATGGCCTTTGTAACACAACTGATGGAGGCGTGGAGATGGTCATAGCGTGGACACGAGAGTGTAACACTGTCCCCATTTGCTCCTGTGGTAAGGGTTCCTAGGGCTTCAGAAGTTTTTGATTTTGCAACTTAACAGGTCCCCTTAAAAGGATCGTCTTTGCTTCATGGACTAATAATACCTTACATTTGTACATACTTTCACATGCATTATCTCACTTAATAGTACGGTATTATATCCATTTTTCAGAGAGGAAACAGACTTTGGGAGAGGTTAAATGGCTTGCCTGAGGTCACCAATGGCATGAGAGGGAGTGGCAGGGCCCATCTCCAGCCCAGGATTTCTGACTTTTCGCATCACAATATTTCAAAGCTGTCTCTTTATTTTAGTTACTTCCATAACAACAGAAGTGAAGGGACCTATAGTTTTTTAACCTTAAAAACACAAAGGTTTCTGATTGAGTGGCCTCTAAGAAAAGATCTCTGCAGTCTATCGACGAGAGGGTTTCAAATTATAGGGATCAACTGTGATAGTGAGTACTTTGATAAAAATATTAACATTGGTTTTCCAGAATCTAACTTCTGTGAAAGAAAACTATACGGTGCACCATATCATGTGTAGAAAAAAAGGACCACTATACACAACGAACATATCCACACGTGTTGGGTCAACGTTCTCTTCCCAAATGTGGCCGCAGAAGAAAGTGCGAAGCGTGCTGAAATAAGACAATATTTACGACTGAAGAAATTCGGCTTCACATACCAGTAATTATGAACAAGACATTTTCCCTAATAAAAGTACTCCAAAACGAAATATAGAGAAACTGTTTCCCTATGTTCTCTTTATTGTATTCCATGTGCTCAAGAATGGTCACAGAAAGAGGCAAAGGGAGCAGACAGAGAAAGAAAGAGAGCTATATAGAGAGCCGGCCTCTGCTGAGGGTTGGTTTTGCTTTAGAAACTGGAATGTGTCCAGGCTTGATTTTTATTTTCAATTCACATTTCAGATCCAGCTCCCCAAACTCTTTGATCTTTCTCCCTGTCTCCTTACCCGGAAGAGAACCCTTGGCCTTCTCAGCTGGGAGCTGGGAGCACACGTGGAAAGACTGGCTCGGATCCATATTCTTGCCAAATTTAGTCACACAAAGGGGCCTGCGAGGGAAAAAAGAAAGGATGAAAGCGGCAGCCGCCGCGACTTCAAAGGCCGCGCCGCCGCGCCGGGCCCTGCGCAGGCGCCGCCCTCAGCCGATATAAGGCGCGACTCGCGCGCGCGGGCGGCCTTTCCGCGCGCGTCCCCGACCCGGGGGGCGGGCCGAGGGACAAGGAGGGACTGGGCGAGGAGCGCCCAGGGCTGGACGCCGCGGCCGTGCTACCCGCCGGCCTTCCGAGGCCGGTCCCCGTGCCAAGTTCAGGCGCCTGAGAAAAGTTTTTCAGAAAGGATGGACAAGAATGTCACGTCCTGCCCACGAAATGAGCAGTCCTGTGGCCCGCAAAATGACTCCAGCTCCCACCTCCATTCCTGCTCCATTGTAGGCATTCCCCATGCGTGGGAGCCCGGGTTCCCGTCGCGGAGAGCAGCCCAGCGACGAGGGCGCGTGGCTGGGCCCTGTCTGGCTCGTTCGGCTCCCCTGTGCCTGCCTTGCGTTGCTGGTTCCCGTGCGCTCTCCTACCGGCGCGATTCCTCGCCCTCTTGGGCAGCCTTAGGACGTGTACCCTCGCCTCCCAGCTGGCAGAGGGGCGGCCTGCAGAGCGGGGTGGGTTGCGCCCCTTGCCCGCAGGCCGTGGGAGGAGGCGGCCCTCTGGACAGCCGCGCCCGGGACCCCCACCCAGCGAGGCAGGGACGCGGGGCTCGGCCTGCACTGGCCCAGCGCGGGGAAAGCCGCAGGAGGGCGGGAGGGGTGGCGGACCCCGCTCGCTCGAGCCCCGCGAGGCTGCGCCGAGCTGCAGACGCCAACGGGCGCCGGCCCCGCGGAAGCCCGACGTCCGCAGGCGGCCGGATTTGGGAACGACTTTTTCACGGTCCCACGAGTTCCCTGATACCCCGGAGGGTGAGGGGTTGAGTCTGTTTGTCTTTAGGAGGCGGCAAGAAGAAGCGGAAGAACCCCTGGGACACAAACTGCCATTTCCCTCGCCCCCCTTCTCTCCTTTTCTGCGAGGTCCGTTAAACTGAAGATGCCCCACAGCTTTCGTCTCCAGGCGAAGACGGGGTGGGAATTCGAGGGGGTCGGAGTTCCGCCTCTGGAGTCACATTATTCGTTTTCTAGCCCTTCTCCTCGGCTCCTGAGTATCCTCTTCCGTAGGCCCCGCCACCTCCTTCCTTTGGGATCCCACCAAAGTTGTAGCTGGGAGAGAGTCCAGGCCACACAAAGGGGAAGACCTGGAGCCTGGGCGGGGGTTAGGACCGAGGGGGCGGAGAGGACTCGAGGGGCACCGTGCTTTTCTCTCGTCCTTGTAATTAAGGACTCACTGGACTGTCTGTAGCCGACTCGAGTTGGCAACAAAATCGCCGGGGGGGAGGGGTTTTCTGGTGTGAGTGGGGGTCACTCCTCTGGCTCTGCTGCCCGCTCCCGAGCTTGACTGGGCTCCGCTTACCCCGTGGGCAGCGAGGCCGTCTCTTCTCCCCGGCTCCTCTGTTCTTGTGCGGGGTGGGCGTCTCGCCCCCCACGCACAGTTGAGGCGACGGCGCCCGATGTAGAAGGAAGTGTTGATACAAAACAAGTTTGCTCCCAAACTAAACCCAAACCAAGCAAAGCCACCAGGAGGGGAAAAACCAGCAGCAATCCAGCCAGCCCCTAGCAATTGTTTTCACGGTCGAAATTAAATCACATCAAAACGCCCCCTGAAACCCACATCCTGAAGGAGTGAACCTACAACTGCCAACCTACAGTCGTTCGCTCGAGTTCACACGAACAACTTGCCTCTAACATCCGAGTGAAGGGGGCGGCGGGCGGCGGGTGCCTCTCCCGCACCGCACCCACCACATCCCGGACCTGGGATCCCACTCGCACCCGAAGAGGCGGCTGCTTATGTTAATACCAGCCCCCACACGAATTAGACAAGACCGCCCGGTGACAGAATTGCCTATGCCAGAAACTACACTGAATCCGTAAGGGAGGGGGAAGAACGTCTTCCCCGGGTTACTTCGCCCGTCGTGCGTCCTCCTGCTTTTTCCAAAAGAAAGACTTCACGTGGAAGTGTCAACCTCTCTCCCAAACGAAGCTTCACAAATTTGGGGCGCATGGATTTTACTAAAGCCCCTTCTAAGTGCTGCTCATCAGAAGATTTACAACAATCCTAAAGACAATCAGCTAACACCAGTTACACCACTGTAAGGAAAACAGCCACGCAAATAGAGCAAGGTGCTGGGTTATTTCGTTAGAAACAATGTTTTCAATGGACAGGGTCACAGTAAAATACCAAACGCAGCCACCTACCCTTGGCCCTTCAAGTAAACAGTTTCCACTATTGTTCTAAAAATTCGCATCTTCTTGAGCTTCTACCCTTCAGGAAACCTGGAGCATAGGCTCCAAATGACTCGGGGAATCCAGAGAGTTAACATGAAGGAGAAAGTGGCATCTGAATTAGTTTCAGCACTTAAACAGCGGGGGGAATGTAAGAGTCATCATTTAATCTCTCTTTGGCTTCCAGAAACTACCCCCTAGCCATTCTGTATTCCTCCCTCCCCCTCCTGAGGGTTTGATGAAAAGGAACCTCTACTCTGCTCTGGTGAAACTGCATTTTCTAGTTGTTTTCCTATTGGTCAAATTGGTGCAGTTATGGGAGGACTTTTGACTTTATTTTCCCATATGTCTTTTAAGAATGGGGCTATAAATGTCTGACACAGCTGTATGTTCACCTCTCTGGGACACTCACTCACACTGGTGCATAACTTTAAGGGAAGTGACATACCACCATCATCCAAAAACAAAAATTGGGTTTCTCACACACTGTAGCAGAATATACTCCTTTTCTTCTCTTGAGGCATAGCATTGTCAGCTATTAAAAGTGGATTTAATGTTTTACTTTTCGTGGATTCCTTCACCAACCCCTTAATTTTAATCCAATCTCCCAGATAGAATTTACATGTGACTACTGGCCATATTCTAGGGACCAACTGGATCCTTCGTAAAGTTTTAAAAATTGCTTCCTAGTAAATTCTCATTCCCAAGAAGTAGTAGTTATTAGTAGGTGAAGTTTTAAGTGCTCACTTAGATACAGCATTGTTAGAATCTTTACCCATTCAATGTTCAGCAGCCTGGAATTTCACCTTTAGGAAAATAAGAGGAATCTTTGCTAGACCATTCCTATATAACAGAGCAAAATCTGATTCTGTAGTGTTTTCCTTATTTTCAATTTAAGGGAGATGAAGATACATTTCTTTATGTCCTTTGTTTACTGTTCTGAAGTTTTACAGATGGCTACTGTATTGGATATAATAATTTTGCCTAGATTTTTAACAGAGGGGGTTTGAGAACCAAGGGACAAAATGTAATGTGTTTTCAAACTTCAGCTTCCCTTCTGCTGTAACTTTCACAAAGTATCTCCTGAAAACTCCTGTCTTTGTACAAAATGCATCAAAGACATAGTGGAGACTGGGGAATTTTTGAGGTTGTATTCGGATTTGCATCTTCAAGGGTTCCTTTCAGCTCGCAGTCCAAGGTGCCAGGGACTACCCCGTCCTCCCTCCCTCTTTTGGCTTTGCTCTCCTGAGTCCTTTTGCCTTCTCTTCCCCTTTCTTGGATTATCTTTTCATTCTCGATGAGGTTCCCACACACTGCGGTGTGTGTCTTTGAAAACCCACGAGAGACCTAGCACAACTCTCCGTACATCCCGTGGTGAGGACAGAATGAAAGAGATATTGTTTAAAAAGCAATAATTAAAATCTAGTCTTCAGTTCCTTCTTCCTCGTCATATTTTTTCTCGGTAAGCCTGGAGATTTTATTTTCACTAGCGTGTTCCCTTGTTTCCAAAGAGCGTGTGTATGATATTATATTCGGGAAAGCCACAACTCTCTTTTCCTTGTCCTTCTGTTCTCCCTTAATAGTTGAGCAATGTCTGTTATATTTTTCCCTTTTCCTTCTTTTCTCAGTCCCAGATTCCCGCCTCTCCCCACTGTCAGAGCATCTATCAATGTGGTGTCGATCACAGCGGCGGCGGCTTTCTCTTTCATCTTCCTCCCCCGGCCAGAGCGAGGGAGGGAGAGTGGGAGGCGTCAAGGAGGTAGGGGAGAGACTAGCAGAGGAAAAGGAGTGGGTGGGTGGGGGCCAAGAAAATAGATACTTAGATGATGAAGTCAAGCCATTGCGGCAATGTTTCTTGTCAATTTCACGCGGGCAAAGCGTGCCTCTCGGTGGGTTATAAGCAGCGCCGGGTCATTCCTTCTCTCGCCAAGTTGCCTGATCCTTCCCTCCAGGCGCGCGCGCACACACACACTCACACACCCCAAAACCAATACTCGTCCTACAGGATCTGGGAAAAGAAAAAGAAAAAAAAGCCCTCAATCACCACCTCCTTCTCGCCGACTCCCCCTCACCCCCCGCCTCCCCTCCAGCGGGCAGCCAAGGAGAGCTGGAGGCGGGGGAGGGGAGAGGGAGGAGAAGCGACGCAAGTGGGTAGCTTTTCAGCGCCGGCTAGGCGCGGGAGGAGGAGAAGCAGTCGGGAGGCGCAGCAGCTCACCTGCGGGGCAGGGCGCGGAGGAGGGACCCGGGCTGCGCGCTCTCGGGCCGAAGAACCAGGACGCGCCCGGAGCCTCGCACGCGGCCAAGCTCAGGGTGTCCCCTCCCCTCGGCTGGGCGAACCCAAGGGGCGCAGCTCTTTGCTTTGACAGAGCTGGCCGGCGGAGGCGTGCAGATCCGCGAGCCGGCGAGCCAAGCTGAGAAATTCGAGCCGGGAACAAAGAGGGGTCGGGCTGAGTGTGTGTGTCGGCTCGAGCTCCGGGCAGAAGCATTTGGGCCCGAGGTCCCCGCTGTGACTACCCGAGACTCCGCCGTGCCCTCCACTGCGAAGTCCCAGCGCTTGCCGGCAAAAACTTTATTCTTGGCAAACTTCTCTTTCTCTTCCCCGCCTCCTCGGCCCCCACCTTCTCCTCCTCCTCCTTCTCTAGCAGATTAAATGAGCCTCGAGAAGGAAAACCGAAGCGAAAGGGAAGAAAATAAGAAGCTCTAAAACGGACATCTCCAGCGTGGGTGGCTCTTTTTTCTTTTTCTTTTTTCCCACCCTTCAGGAAGTGGACGTTTCGTTATCTTCTGATCCTTGCACCTTCTTTGCTGGGGCAAACGGGGGCTTTTTGCCCAGACCCCCTCTCTTTTCTCGGCAAACAAACTACTAAGTCGGCATCCGGGGTAACTACAGTGGAGAGGGTGTCCGCGGAGACGCGCCGCCGCACCCTCCTCTGCACTTTGGAGAGTGGTGCTCCCTCCAGAACCGGCGTCCTCCGCGCGCAAATCCCGGCGACGCAGGGGGCGTGGGGTGGCCGCCGGGGCAACCT